ATCACCTGCTATGCAAGGTAACAGAGGAAGATACAGTGATAGGGCAGGACACCTGACAGCCTCTGGGTTCTGCATGTGAGCAGACATACACCTCACACAAGACATAAACAACACACAAATCAAACTTTCATTTTAAAAAGAAGCTTAATAGTTTTCTATTACAGACTTGATCTGGGAACCTATAATGTTCCTATAATGCTAATCTTTTAGGCATATAGACACATGGCATCTTTGGCCCACAGTAATTCTAGAGGCACACAAAAATGTTAAACTTCTTTAAAGATTAAAGGAAGAATCTTTACATTAAAATGGTTTAACATATATGTAAATTTTCTTTATAACAATTCAATGATAAAATGCTGCCTTTATTTTTTTTAGTGGAGAAAGTATCCCATAAAAGCAAAAATGCTTTAGAACCAGGGAAGTCCGAATGGCACTCTAAGTTATCATTTTCTGTAATAAAAATATTGAGATACTGCAATAAAGCAGAAACACATGTATGTACATAAACACAAAACATTTATACATACATCCATTCACTCATTCATTCATCATTGTGTAAGCCAGCAGACCCAGAACTCTTTATATAGCAGTCTAGCTTTGAATTCCCATCAATCTTCCTGCCTCTGCCTACTGAGTACTGGGATTACACGAATGGGCCACCAATTCTGGTTCCCAAAACTGTCTTACAGCCAGTCTTACATATGATTTTTAAACCTCAATAATACTGAAACAGTACCTCCATTATTATTTAGATTTCCAAATCATTAACAAGGACTCTAACAAAACGTCTTGTGTATATAAGCAAATAAATGCTTGGAAAATAATGATGGCTTTCAGTGGCTTTCGACCTGTGGGTCACATCAAATATCCTGAATATCAGATATTTACATTATCATTCCTAACAGTAGCAAAATTACAGTTATGAAGTAGCAACAAAAATAATTTTACGGTTGGGGGTCACCACAACATGAGGAACCATATTAAAAGGTTGCAGCATTAGGAAGGTTGAGAACCACTGGTTCATAAGAACTAGAGACCAATAGTTCTTGAAGGGGTAGGAGAGAGAAGGAGGAAAACAGAAAGAAGGAAAGAAGGAAAAAGATGAGGGAAAAACCACAAATGAACTAGAGCAGACGAACAAGAGAACCATCCCTGACTAAGATGAAATTATCTCCTAAGTAAATTCCTAGATTTAGTATAACTAATTCAAATTCCCAAACAATAATTCAAATGGTAAGGATACCCTGGAAAAAAGCATGTGGATTGATTCTTTTTTAATAGCATGTACCTAAACCTACTGGTGCTGAATAAAATAAAATACAGACAAAAACATTCTTATAGCTAAAAATGAATAAATTTCAAATATATATGAAAAAAGGTCTAATGAATATAGCTGTTACAATGTTAATATAATGACATAACTTCCCCACCATAGACACCACACAAAATTTCAAGTTGATTTTTAACTAGAAAAATAGGAAACATTTCTAGTAATGAAAGGGAATATATACTTGTGATTTTAGACATTTGACCAAATTATTATAAAAGGTACCTACAGAAAAAAACACTAAAGAAAAGATGAAAAACAGTAAGAAGAAAGGACAAACTTCATAACTGTGATACTAGATAAAGTTATACTTTTACAATACACCGGACCAATCTTGTTTGGTACCCAGTCCTCAGTGGACAAATTCCCAAATCATGTCTTTAATCAAGGGTGCACACTTAACCAAGTGCCAAGCACTGTTAAACACATTACAAGTAAACCAATCTCAAAGTCCCGAGGAGGAGGAGGAGGAGGAGGAGGAGGAGGAGGAGGAGGAGGAGGAGGAGGAGGAGGAGGAGAATAAGGTTGTTGTTTTTACTCCTTTGTGGGAAACTATCAAAGTACAGAAATCCCAGGAAGGGAAGTTATTTGCTCAGTGTGACAGAGATCAACAGAGCCAGAATCCGAACCCAGTGCCCTTCCAGAGTCCATGCTTTCAACCACTGAGTTATCTGTTTCTTTCCTCTACGAAGGTGAAGGAAGAAAAAAAAAAAAAAGCAAACCATTCAGTCTACAAATGCACTAAATAAACTTACTACATAAATTACTAAAATATACAAGTAAGAATTTGTCTGTTTTTGTCTCTTTGTTTTACTTTGTGCCAGGGGCTGAATGCAGGAACTCCTTCAGACCAAGCCCACAGTCTATCACTAAGCTATATCCTCGGCCATAGATTATTTTTGAGGGGGCTGGAGAGATGACTCAGCAGTTAAGAGCATTGGCTGTTCTTCCAGAGGACCTGGGTTCAATTACCAGCACCCGAATGGCAGCTCATAACTGCCTATAATTCCACCTCCAGGGGATCTGACACACTCACAGATATACATGCCAGCAAAATATCAATGCACATAAAATAAAATCATTTAAAAAAAGACAAAGATTAGCCAGGCGGTGGTGGTGCACGCCTTTAATCCCAGCACTCAGGAGGCAGAGACAGGCGAATCTCTGTGAGTTCAAGGCCAGCCTGGTCTACAGAGCGAGATCCAGGAAAGGTGCAAAGCTACACAGAGAAACCCTGTCTCGAAAAACTAAAAAAAAAAAAAGAAAGAAAAAGAAAGAAAAAAGAGAAAGATTATTTTTGGCACAGTACTTTGAGGACTAAGAGAACCATGATATTATTGTCAATGAAGAGGATTAAAAAAAAAAAAAACTTTGAGAAAAATGATAGGTAAACTGAGTCTGGTAAGACATATGTCAAAAGGGTGGGAAATGAAAGAAAATATTCTACATTTAAGGAAAAAAGAAACTAATAGCATTTAACTGCGGTTTAAAAAAAATATAAACAAAAAAACAATGAGAACAACAACACCTACCACTAGCAACTCCGGCAATTAATTGCATTGAAGTCAATATCACGTAGGAAAGAATTAAAGGGAGTTAAATGATCTGGAAAACTGAAAAGTCACTTCAGAAGGCAAGAATGACATTAGCAGTTTTTATACTGCAATTGGGTACCAGATTTAGACACAGAAGAAAACAGGTTAATGTGCCACCCCAGACAACATCAAGTGTTCTCTACTTGCACTTCTGTTGCTATTGCCTGACAATAAAAAGGAACTTAGAGGAGAACGGATTATTTAGTTTACAAGTCCCAGTCACAGTCCATCATCATCAGGAAGAAATCAGGACAGTAACTGAAGGTAAACAGAGGAAGAATTAATTTATGCATGCTCAGTGGGTTGTCTGCTTACTGCTCAGCTCAATTTCTCCTTCTTAAAACAGTTCAGGACCCCCACCCACCCTCCTCACCTCTAACTCATCCAGAGTGGCCTGACTCTTGTCACATCAATTAAGACAATCCCCCACAGAAATGCCCACATGCCATCCAACCTAGACAATCCCTCACTGAGACTCTCTTCTCAGGTGATTCTACATTGTGTCAAGGTGACAATTAAAGCTAACCATAATAAGGAATGATCAAAATAAAGTGGGTCAAATGAAAAGTGAAGGAGAACGGCTAAGTAACATAGTAGTCACTCAAATGTCAGTTAAATTAATGAGCCAGACCAGAAAACAGTCTTTTTTTAAAATAACAAACCTGGCTGTTCTGGAACTCACTTTTGTAGACCAGGCTAACCTCAGATTCAGAGATCCTCCTGCCTCTGCCTCACTAGTGCTAGGATTAAAGGAGTGCACTGCCACCACCACCCAGCAGAAAACAGTCTCACTGTTAAATATAAAGATAAAACTGAAAGAGGTAGAGGGCTAAGGAGATGACTCAATGGCTAGAAGTGTTGCCATGCAAGCCTAAGGAGCTAAATTCAGTCCCTGAAACCATGGATGGAGAGAACTGATTCCTCAATGTTGTCTAGTTGTGGCATGCACGCACACACACACACACACACACACACACACACACACACACACACACACACTAAAAAAAAATTATAAGTGAATAGGCAGAGGATACATTTCAAACAATCTTGGTGAACCAAATAAACACAGCAAACCAGGAGCTGAAATCACTGGAATAAAGGAATAGACTGGCCCGGGCCATAAACTGCCTCTGTCTAGCCAGGTTTATGGATTATGGACATTTTATAGCACAGAAATTTTGAAAAAGTCTATGAAGGCTGCATGGCTGAACTGTGTAATGGCTAGGATTATTAGGATTACCACTAGAAGAATGAAGCACATACCTGACAGTGCCCTGAACCATGCCCACAAATGCATGGTAAATGATATTGCTATGGGCTGAATGTTATTAGGCCAGAAGCTGAAAATCGTTTATATGTACAACAGTTAATCCACTCTGAACTCTTTGGAAAGTTTGTAATTTATGCTAAGGTTTAAGATTCTACTTTGCTTATCTCTTTCAATCATTATTAATCATTTGAGAAATATAAAAAATTCATATATAACCATGAAACTTGGCAACTGACAAATAATTAATGACTCTAAAGTGAGTGAAAAGATAGATTTCAGAAAGAAAATGATGCACCAGAATGAGTAATAAAGCTCCAACTTTCTAGCAGTCCTATCACCCTCCCAGGCCATAAGGAGTTATATTAGTCGCTTTTCTCATGGTTGAGACCAGATCTGGACCAGAAGCAACTTAAGGGCTTACTTCAGCTACACTTCAAGAAGGGCTACTGTTGACTTTGGTGTGGAAGACATAATGATAGGAACAAGAGGCAGCTGAATTGAGAAAGCAGACTGGGGACAGGATGTAGGGCCAGGGATAATCCCTGAAAGCACATTCCCAGTGACCCATTCCTCCAACAGGGTTCCACTTCTAAAAGATTCTACAAGAGTCCCAAACAACAACACCACCTGGAGACCAAGTGTTCAAACCACAATAGGGGTAAACTAAATAGAACAATTCTTCAAATCTTTTTAGTAAAAACATTCTCTTTTCAAACTAATTTAGAATTGTGATATGCTTTACTTTTCTAATTTGACTTAATTATTAGAAGGAAAAACAAAAATTCTTGAATCTTTGAATACTCACCCAGTACGAGATTGGCCCACCTTATCACAAATATCCAAGATGAGGCCCCAGTCCTCAGCAGTATTCATCTCACTAGTTGCTTTCTCTGTAGATTATAAAAGAATTACAGAAACATTAAAGTAAAAATTGTTATGTTACCACATTTAAATCACCAAACTGTAATACAATCAAGTCTCAACATCAAACCCAAATAGTTGCCAGCACTATGATTAATCAGATTTTGATGTCCATCTTTCAAAGGGGCAGTGCAGGCAGAAGTTTCTCTCCTGCCTGCCTGTTCCCAAACACCCAGCAGCAGCTTCTTAAATAACTGACTCCGAAGCTTAATATTACTTATAAATGCTCAGCCAGTGACTCAGGCTTATTACTAACTAGCTCTTACACTTAAATTAACCCCTAATTCTTATCTATGTTTGGCCACGTGGCTTGGTACCCTTTCTTAGCTAAACATTCTCATCTTGCTTCCTCTGCATCTGGCTGGTGACTCCTGACTCTGCCCTTCCTCTTCCCAGAATTCCCCTAGATGGTCGCCCTGCCTATACCTCCTCCCTGGCTAATGACCAATCAGCATTTTATTAAACCAAATCAAGTGACAAATCTTTACAGTGTAGAAGAGCATTAGCCCACAGAAAGGCAGGTTCAATCTATCACAATCTTCCCTATTCACACTTCATTTGCTTTTTACTTCACAAAGAAACTCCAAAGAGATTAAGTAAAGAACTATTTCCATTTTCAGAAAATTTTTAGCTTTACTTGGTAGTGAAAGGGACAGGGACTAAACACTCATCTCTATCAAAATATTTCAGGTAATTAAGTTATTTATCTACATTTGTTGATTTGGCTTTGTCAGCATGGAGAAGAGAGAAGGCTCCAAAAAACAAATGAAGCTTACTATTTTCCTCAAATAAAACATGACACATTGAGGCCAATAAGATAGCTCAGTGGGTAAAAGCACTTGCCACACTGAATTTGACCTCTGAATTCTACACTTGAAGGAGAGACTTGACTCTTTTTTTTTTTTTTTGGTTTTTTCGAGACAGGGTTTCTCTGTGTTCTCTGTGTAGCTTTGCACCTTTCCTGGAACTCACTTGGTAGCCCAGGCTGGCCTCGAACTCACAGAGATCCGCCTGGCTCTGCCTCCCGAGTGCTGGGATTAAAGGCGTGCGCCACCACCGCCTGGCGTTGACTCTTGAAAGTTGCCCTGTGCACACATGTACGCATACACACACACACACACACACACACACACACAAAGTCTAAAGCTTGATATATTAAAGACATCAACAGAGGCAGGCAGATTGATTTTTAAAAACAAGGGCAGGATAAACATAACAAGCTTTTGGCAGCAAATGTTCTAGCAATATAGATATATAGGTTACCCTTATATAGACGATATAAGAATGGAAAATCAAAATAAGAATAATAAAGCCTTAAGAACAAGGCTGTTTTATACTAGAGTTACAAAAGAAAGTTAAAAAACTGGCAACATCAAGAAGCTCTAGAAATGAAAGTGAAGAAAGAGGACTTAAAAGGAATAAATGCCAGCTACAGTGACACAAGTCTTTAATCCCAACATTTAGGAGGCAGATGTAGGTGGATCTCTACATTCAAAGTTAGCCTGGTCTACACAGGAAGTATCAAGCCAGCCAGAGCTACATAGGTGAGACCCTGTCTCAAGAGAAAAAAAATAAAACATTAAGAGGAATGAATAGAAGCCATTTGAAATGGAGGTTGGTCACTAATTGTCTCCCTTACTAAAGAATCCTAGCAACTACCTCTCTTCAAAGGAACAAAAAATGGATGTTTGCTTTCTGAAGATCAAGCAAAGCTTTTCTGAACTAGTAGACCTGAGAAGAGTAGAGATGGGCACAAAAATAAAGTATTAATTCTTGGTCCAGCATGTAAGGAGAAAAGATGCCGTCCCTTCAATCCAACAAACCAAAAGATGGATACACTGAAAACCTAATTCTTTTTAGATCCTTCAGGGAAGGGAACTCACCGCCAACAGCTGACCCAAAAACTACACAGACTAGCAAAAAGAAAGAATTCCAACCTAGCACAGTCATCTCCATAGGAACCAATGACAAGCTGGAGGGCCCAAATATTAGTGACAGACTGGTAGAGCTCAGTGAAGACACATACCCAAGTTTAAACTCCAGTAAAACAAAGGGATCCACACATAAAGTAAGCTTTGACTGTAAGAATTGCAGTGGGTGCACAGTGAATATATTTTAAAAAAATGCCAGGAGGAAAAAAAAGGAACAATTTTTCAAAGACTGCAGAGAACTCAGTTCTTAATACAGCCTGTCCTTAAGAAAAATAAAGGTCTATACTGTATTAATAACTAACCAAATTAGTTTAACCAGAGATTAACTCACTTGAGGCAGGAAACTTTCCAACTCAAGCCTCCTCAAGCTTTCCACCTGAAGAAAGAGGAGTACCCAACTACAGTTCACCCTGTAGTTTGTGAAGTTCATGGTCCAGAGGCACAGGCTCATAAAAGTATTTGCCACTCTGCCATGCCTCTCTGATACATTGCTCAGGCCTAGACAAAGGTCAGTAAAGGTCTAGCATTGGATCCTATTCTCCAGTACACAATGTTGAGATTTTAGAAAAAAATTTACAAGTCATACTAAAAGATAAAAACAATTTGAAAAACAAAGCAAGTTTCTGACTGATAGATGACAGAAAGCAAGAGTTAAGAACCTTGGAATTTTGAAAATATGATTACTATGCAAGAATAGTCTACAAGAACAACAGACAATGCAAGCAGATAAAAATCTAGGAATAAAAATGAGTATTAAAACTCAAAATCATAAACAGGAGGGTTAACAAAATTTCTCAGTCAGTAAAGTTGCTTGACATGCATTCAGGAGAACTTACTTGAATTTGATCCCCAGTACACACATTAAAAAGATATAAGAATAAGAATAGCCAGGCGGTGGTGGCACATGCCTTTAATCCCAGCACTTGGGAGACAGAGGCAGGTAGATTGCTCTAAGTTCAAGGCCAGCCTCATCTACAGAGCTAGTTCCAGGACAGCCAGGGCTGTTACACAGAGAAACACTGCCTCAAAAAACCAAAATAATAATTGTAATACTCATAATCAGGAGGAGGAGGAGAAAAAGAAGCAGAAGCAGCTAGGCATGGTAGTACACAATTATAATCCCAATACTGAGGAGACAGAGATAGATGGGTCCCTGGGGCCCGTTGGCCATCCAGCCTAACGTCAACGAACTACTTTACCCAGTAATAGAATACATACTCTTCTCTAGCCCATATGCAATATAGACTACATTTGAACCATAATACACATTAAGACAAGTACTATAAATACAAATCATACAATGTTTGCTTTCAGACCACTACAGAATTAATGTAGTAAGCAATAACTGAAAAATCCTTAAATACATGAAGACAATACACTTCTTTTTATTAATTTGTTTTATGTGTGTATGTGCACACATATGTATGTGGGAAGTCATGGGATAGCTTGCAGAGTCAGTTCTATGCTAATACCATGTAGATACTTGACATCAAACTCAAGTCATTAGGCTAGGCAGCAAACACCATTACCATCTCACTGGCCCTAGTTTGTTTGTTTGTTTTTTGTTTTGTTGTTGTTTGTTCTTGTTTTAGGGTTTTTATTTTCAGATAGGATCCCATGTACCCCAAGCTGCCTTGAGCTCAAAATGTAGCTGAGAATGACTTTGAACTTCTGATCCACCTTTCTCTACTTCTCAGTGCTGGGGTTAACAGTGCATCACCACACCTGGCTCATGCAGTTCTAGGAATGAAAACCAGGGCTTTGTGTGTGATAGAGTAGCATTTTACCAACTTAACTACCTCTTAGCCCAATACACTTCTAAACAACATGAATAAAATAGTTTAAAGTCTCTGTGATGATGTGAATAAGAATGTACCCATAGACTCATATATTTAAACACTTAGTCATCAGTAAGTGGCATTATTTGAAAGGATTAGAAAAAATAGGGGGTGAGGCCTTGTTGGAGTGGGTGTGGCCTTGTTGGAGAAGTATGTCACTGGGGGTGGGCTTTGAGGTTTCAAAAGCCCAGTCTCCCTCTCTGCTTGTGGATCAGGATACAGCTCTCAGCTCCTTCCCCAGTACCATGCTCCCTGCTATAACGGAAATGGACTAACCCTCTGAAGCTGTAAGCAAGCCTCCAATTAAATGCTTTCTTTTTTAAGAGTTGCCGGCTGGGTGGTGGTGGCCCACGCCTTTAATCCCAGCACTTGGGAGGCAGAGACAGGCGGATCTCTGTGAGTTCGAGGCCAGCCTGGTCTACAAAGTGAGTTCCAGGAAAGGCGCAAAGCTACACAGAGAAACCCTGTCTCGAAAAAACCAAAAAAAAAAAAAAAAGAGTTGCCTTGGTACAGTGTCTCTTGACAGCAATAGAACAGTGACTAAGACAGCCTCCAAACAAATGAAATACAAAGCAAGCTAACAAAAATGAAAACAGAAAAGCAATTTTTAAAAAAAATCAGTACAACTGTTAAAGATGAGCAAAATCTGTACGCTTCTAAGGAAGCTAACTGGAAAGGGAAAAAAAAAAGAAGATACAAGGTACCAGTACCAGGAATCAGAGAGAGAATCTCGTGAATATTACAAATAAATATTACAAACTCTATGCCCACTAATTTGATCACTTGGATGAAGCAAGCCAACTCCTTTAAAGGTATATGCCCAGACAATAAAACAGATAATCCAAACAGGCTACCTATTAAGGAAATCAAATCAAGAAAGTTAATAATCTTTCAAAACACAAAACATAGGGCCCAGTTGGGTTTACAAGATAATTCTGCAAAACATTTAAGGAAAAATTTTACATCAATTCTCCACAATCATTTGCAAAAGACAGAAGCAGAGAGAATGCTTCCTAACTTAATCAATGCTTCCAGCATTACCACTAATACTAAAGTCAGGCAACAGTGTTACTTGAAAACTATGAATAAATCCTTTACATAATTATAAATGAAAAACTCCCAGCAAAATATGAACAAATTGAATTCAACAATGTGTAGAAAATGTATACACTTGGACCAAGAGAGATTTGTACTGATTAT